AATATATTTTAATTTAAATTTTTAAAAAAACTTACTAAAAACAATTTGGGTGGTTTCTACTTTTGACCTCCCATATATCACATGTGTGCAATGCTTTTTGATTTTGCACAAGATCACTAAAAATTTTACTAATGAAATTATAGCTGTTCATTAAGTAAAAAGCACCCAGCTGATAATTTTACTATGGCTTTTGCTAACCAGTATAGCTAAACCTAACCCTAATGCTAATGCATTCTGACCAGGAATTTTGGAGATTACTCTGTAAAAAATTAAGAAATTGTAATTCTATTACAGAATTCTGGTGATAGTTGAGTTAGTTTGCATTGGAAATATCGTAAAAAAAATTATACAAAACTTACTTGCAATTGCGGTAACGAACAGCATGTCTGAGTTGACTAATATTAGAATTATTGTTAATTTATTTAAACTAAATTAACTTTTCAGTAACATACATTATGAGGTTAAAGTTGAGTTAGTTTGTATTGGAAATATTATAAAAAAAAAATTATACAAAACTTACTTGCAATTGCGGTAACAAACAGCATGTGGTAAAGGCTGAATTTGCTAGCATTAAAATTATTGTTGATTTACTTAAACTAAGTAAATTGTCTTGTAAAATAAAAATTGTCTTGATTAACAATAGCAAATCTGTAATTGTTGCCTCGTAATTTCTAATTTTATATGAAACACTAAACAATAACAATTCTGCAACAATTACAGATTTGCTATTGCCAAATATGACAAACTCTACACTCTTATATATGTACGTACATACATATATTTATTTTTTTTGATTTACAAGACACTTTCACTTATTTTAATATTTTTGTAGTTGAATTTTTTATAGCAAATAATGAGATAATTCCAATGGCGAGTAAGTTCTGTAGTGGGATTTTTACAGCAACTTTGATAGAAATTACAATTTTTCTAATGCAAACATAACCTCAACTATACACTGTATATAAATGGTAAGTTATTCTAGAATGAAATTTTTATAGTAATACATGATAGAAATTCCAATGCAAACTAACTCAACCCTAACCACTCACTGTGTTATCAGAATAGTGTGTAAGTTTTGTAGCTGAATTTTTTTTATAGCAATTTACAGGTAAACTAATTCAATTTTAACCACACAGTGTACAACTGAATTTTTTTTTACAGTAACTTATGATATGAATTATGCATGTATCACTGGAATGGCAATAAGTTTTGTAACAATTATTGTAAACATGATAGAAATTACAATAATTTCAATGACTCACTCAACCTTATATTACTGAATTTTATAGCAAATTACAAAATATCACATTAGTTCCGATTTAAACAAATTTTATCTTAACTATATAGTGTGTCACTAGAATTTTGTAATAGAATCCTTACAATTTCTCAATTTTTACAAAGTAATCTCCAAAATTTTTGGTCAGAATGTATCAGCGTTAAGGTTAGGTTTAGCTATACTGGTTAGCAGGAGCTATAATAAAATTATCAGCATTATGTAACTTCTTTATATAGACGCACTTTAAAAACTTCTCTCGATTTGATTATAGATCATGAAGCTTGGCGTCATAAGGCTGTAGAGATTCACACAAGATTTGATGCAAATAAAAATGTTAGCAGTATTAAACACTTGAGAGCATTATTAGAGAATGCCAAAAACGAACTTAGAAAATATAGCCATCCTGACCCTTATAGATGTAAAGACATATTTAATATTTTGGTTTATTATATCAATGTTTAAAAATAAACATGTAATATATTTTATAATTTTTGATAGACCCTTTAGCTCCTGGGGGATCGAAATTTGAAAGAAACATTCCTCCCTTACCACATATCACTATTGTAGAGCTGGACACTTTTTATTCAATGAACGACTATGATTTTATTAAGAAAATTTTTAGTAATCTTGGGCAAAATCAAAAAGTATCACACTCATGTGATATATGTTGGAATGAGCCCAGCGTGATGCACCTGGAAAATAGCAATCAAGATTGCATCAGACCAGAAGTTGATAGAAAGTTTTTCATAGCGCTGATTTGCTGTGCTACCTGGAGTTGCATTGGCCAATACACGATTTATACTTAGCTGTTATTTATGTGCTTGGTAAGTATTGTGTCTCTGCTTAGCCATCTTTTCAATCTGTTAACTGCATGTCAACTTGACTGACCAGAAATTTTTGGGACTACCCTGTATAAGTTCTCAACTTAAGATAAAAAATTTAACATATGCGTGAAAATTTTTAGTGGAGTGTTGTAACTATATAAATTAGGTGATATATGAATCATAATCTATAATATGATCAGGCCATTTGGGGTTGTCTTTGGTTTGGTTAATCTGTTTGGAGCACTACTCATAAAAACTGATAAGTAACTGATAAGCGATTAATAAGCAATTTTAAATAACTAGCAAATAATCACTTTTAATCTTAGTAATCACATGATGTCATATATATTATTGGCTTAAATTTTATTAATCTCATCATTTAATTTAACTAATCACAAAATTAAAGATTTTCGCCCATGTGTATTAGAGTATCCCGATTGTAAAATATCAAAATTTTCATTTAATTAAAACAATATTGTAGCAAAATTAGGTTTATAATAAAATTTTTTATTTTTACAACTATTAGCTATAAAATTTTACAACTATATTAATTCAATTATCGGCTATAAAATTTCTAAAATTTCTAACTATGTATCAACTATAATATTCCTAACTATCATCTATAATATTTATAACTATTAATTATAAAACTTCTAACTAACGACTATAAAATTCTAACTATTAACTATAATAACGCTAACTATTGACTAAATAATCCGACTATAATAATCCTAACTATTGACTTAACTATCAACTATAATTAGTCTAACTATCAACTTTTTGACTATCAACCTAAAATCGGAAGTTGATTCTCCTTCAAATTGTTATAAAATATCAGAGGTTGAATTGCACATGTTTGACCAGTATTACACAACCTATATGGAAATTAATGACAAAAGCACGAGTTCAAAATTACTGGCTTGTAACAGTAATTAAATGAAGTACTTAACTCCCATTCTAAGGATCTAGACTTCTATAACACTATACCAATAGGGAGTATATAAAAGGAGCAGTAGCCTAATTTGGTGGTATATAACATGAATACTTGGATCAATGTGAAATAATTCTCCTAATGGCAGCAGCAGATGGCTTGAGATACAGTCTTATGATAATGGCAGCACCTGACTTGAGATATAAATTAAAACTTAAAGTAACTCCCCTAGGGGCACCAAACAGGAAGTATGAAGAGTGCCTACTCAAGAGACACCAATTTGGAAGTAATACAAGAAACAAATTAGAAGTAATGTGATAAGTAATGAGGGGTAGAAGTTGGTTGATAGACATTGTACAGTAGTATATAAGCAAGTTATATATGACACAATAGGTTTGGAAACAATCCGGTAATTTAGTAACTAGTCTAATTGCAAAGCAATTAATAAGAAGGTAAAATCTCATATAGTAAATCACATATAGATATTTAAATTAGTAACTAAATGAGCTAATACATGTAATATACATTAGATAGTTGTAAATATATTCATGATATTTGTAACCAAAAATACATTAAATAGTTGTAAATATATTTGTAATATTTGTAACAAAAAATACCTTAGCATAAATTCAATAAACAGTATTGGCAAGACTACTGAATTAAAAAAAAAAAAATTTTAGTAAAATATAGTATTTATAATATTATTGTTGGTAAAATAATATGGATCTTAGAGGTGTGGCGGCTTAGTGAAGTGGTCAAGTCGTCACCCTCTCCAAGTAGCAGGTCTAGGGTTCAAATCCCATGG